TTGCAATGCTCAAATGAACTTCTTTTCTTCATGAGGAACTCGCATGTTCATTAAGTTGTTGATTTGAATGTATACTACATAATATCCAAATTTGGGAGCATATGAAAATAGTGTTTGTGACAGTCGTAGTGAAAGTGTTTATGATAGTGACAGTTAGATTAAATCTTCCTCATTTTGGCTTTCCATTTGTAGGGGTCTTTTTCTTCTGACATCTACAAATGGGCTGGACTGCCGTAAAGAGCGAATTGAAGAAATTATCCCCTGTGCCTGAGTTCAAAGATCAAGCCCCAAGAATGCTTCGAAATGACAGTAGGGCCTTAGGAAACACCTTTGTTACCTTCACCAACAAAAATAATAACAGCTCACAGATGAATTCTTAGTTCTTGCAGGTAGAATCTTAGCTTGGCATGAGAGGCTTGTGGCATGGGAGCAAAGTTGTCATGAGTTTAGCACTGAAGAGAAAATTAAGTGTTCCTAGGGAAAAGATGAGGTATTAAGGTAGGAGAGAAAGGGTTTTGCAGAAAGGTTTGGTTGAGAATGAGGGAAAGATAAGAATTGGTGGCTTGAGTGTTTTTCCGGCAGCTTGACAGAGGGTCAGTCTGCCATAAGAGGAAAAATAGGGGAAAAAGATGAATAGAACACGAATTTGCTGGGTTTTGCAGGTGAGAGAGGAAGCTTGCTCTCTGGATGTGGTTGATGTTTGTCGGGTAGAAAAGGCCTTATTCATAACCGCTGGAAGCCATTCTTTTCCAAGAACTAATGGCTTTTATCCAATCTGGCCAAGCCTTTCCCTTCCTTTCTCCCCTCATCCCTTCCATCATCCAATTTTGGTGAAATCTACTCTGCTCAATTGCACAAAATCAGGGATTTTGGGAGCTCAATGCTCTTCCCGCAGCCACTTTAGTGAAAAACTTCTATTCTCAGCCATCCTCTTTTCTTTCTTTCCTCCCCTCTCTCATGGCCAAATCTGATAAAGGAAAGAGATAGTATACGTGCTGGTTCGAAAGGTGCTTCTCTTCTTGGCAGCCTGCCCTATAAAACCCCTTAGTCCTTTGAATGTCTTTGCTAGAAATTTGTTCATACATCATGTGATGGAGCTTCCAAGCAGCTTTGTGTACGTGGACATACTTGCTCCTCTCGTGGCTTTTGTTTCTCAGCCAGGTGCTGATGGTTTTGCAGGTCCTTATTTTAGTTATATGGGCCTTCTAGGTCAATGGGTTGGCTTTATCAAATAAATGGGCCAAACTCACCAAGTGTTGGCCTATTTTGTTGAGGTGTTAGGCTAATAAGCTATTTTCTCCTTTGTACTTATGTTTGGGCCAAAAATTTGGCACACCCAGTCCAAAAGACCAAAGCCCATGTTAATCCTGGGTAGCCACGAGCATTCTTTGAAATTGGGCCAAAATCTTGCAAACCCAGCCCAAAATCAAGGAACCCAGAAAATTCAAAAGGGCAAACCAAGACTGATCAAATTAGCAAGAAAAGATTGGGCTTCAAAAAACCAGCTTTTTGAAGGAGCCCACCACTAACACATATCAGATTAAAAATATCACAGGATTAATTAAAGCTTATTTTTTAGGAGCCCACGTGACTACCAGAAATAGAAAAGTCAACAAACTCAACTGAGTTGATTGGGAGTTAATTAAAACAGGGCAGTAGCTGGCAAACTGGGAATGGACATCTCTGGATAATCGGAAGATCAAAATCCTCTCTTACATGTATATATATATATATATTTAGAGATATTTTCTCTATTCCAAATAGGGTGATTGTCCCAAGAGATAAGCAAGCCTTGTTATTTAAAGAAGAAGATAAGCAGAAGGGAGAGAGTTGTTCAAACAGGAAATCAAGCTAACTATCACGGTTTGAGATCTCACAAGGGCAGTTAGTTTAGAAAGGAGTTAGGTTCTCTTTCAAAAACAGAGAAGTGACTATTAAGAGCTCGACTGCCAAAAAATTAGATAAAATTCCTTTTTCTTGTGTCTTAAAATTAAAAAGATCTTTCTTAGAAAATTGCCACCCATTATTAAAAAATTACCCTGCTCCAGAAAACATTTTTCTATAAATAGAAGAAAGGGTGAACAAGTTCAAAGGACTAAACGATCAATTCATCAATCAAACAAACAACCCAAAATCAACCAAAAAGCTTACTTGAACTCCAAGAAAAACCAGCTTTAGATCAAAATTCCCAAAGTTCAGACTTAGAAAATAAGTCATTCAAAACGAGATCTCTCTCGTTACAAATTTGGTTCAGCAAAAGCCAAAGACAAGCAGAGTTTGAATTTTTCACAAATATGAAAACCTCAACAAATTTTACAGTGCAGTTTCAGCTCAGTAAATCCTCAAGAACAGCCACTTCTGCCCAGTCAGACTGAAGAAGCCATAATTCTGCCCGCTCAAAGGCCTCCCAAAGCTTGAAGTAGATTAAAGCTCTGCCAAAATTGAACTTTGGTATCGATTTGTAGCTGAAGCCTAGCAGTTAAAGTTGTTGACAGTCCAGTCCAGGCCAGGCATATCCAGTCCAGCCTGGATTGAAGTCTTCTATCCAGACAAAAATGGAGTTCCAGTTGTCTTTTTGTCTTTCTAGTGCTGATACGCATGTTTACGGTTTTGTAAAGGGCAGTTCTGCCTAAAACAGTCCAATTTTTATCAACTATTCTGGCCAGAACAACCGATTTTATACTGAGATAAATTGTGAAAGTCCTCACCAGTCTGGGGCAAGAAAAGAACTAACTTGGGAGATATTCCTTACCTAAATTCACAATCGTTTGTTTTAGAAATCAGTAACTTGGGGCGCAAGTTATCTATTCTAGAAGAAATCTGCTAGAATCTTCATTGTTAGCAGTGGCACGCTCGCACACCAAAGAAAGCTGACTTGTTGACCAGTCAATGGTTTCCAAGGCAGTGGAAAACTTTGCCCTTCCATCTCAGGAGTAAACACAAAACGGGTGAACAACTTACCCACATGTTTGGGCCTAAGAAATGAGCTTAAGTTCCAAGGCTCCCAAGCAACCCAGAACCTCCATTTCTCGGCCTATCAATGGGCCTCATGACAACTTATTACCATACATACCATAACTCACTCAAGCAAGCCCCGGGCATTTGCGTGGCTTGGGCCCACTTAAGCTTGTAGCGTGGCTATGTATAATAATAATGATTTTTCGCTTGGCATTGCATGTCACTTGGCGTGCTTGAATTTTGTCACCTTTACAAAGGAATATGATGCTTGACGGGATAATTAGCATGGGTTTGTAAAGTCTTATTTCAACTCTTAGCGTGACATATTGCATATTTATTTGGCACGACACATGGATCATGACTCGTGCAAGCATGAATGACAAACTTTCGCGTGCTCCAAATCGAGTCTTTTTTTAATAGGACATTGCAATGAGCCGGGAATTTATTCAGGCCCAATAGTGAATTTTTTGGGCCTCAACACCATTACTTAAATGAATTTGCTTTCTTCATAAAAGTTGTTCAATTATGACCGTGAGAATAATAGTCATGATCATGGCAATAAATAAGTACCAATTGGCCTCTCTAACCTATTATCTGCATTTTCTTGAGGACAAGTTATTATCTTCATGAATTGTTTAGTTATGGACCTCTCAAGAATATTTCTCGCACTACCAACTGCTATTACTTGGAAACTTGTGGGCCGCCAACATTAAACACCGTCATCAACCAGAAAAACTTACATTCCATGAGTAACATAACTAGATTGCATTTTACTAATTTTATTTTAAAAGGAAAGGTGCAAAATAACATAATTATTTTTGGAGACTTGTTGCATTAATTAGGCCTATGTTCGTCATCTTCCATTTTCTTCCCTAAGAGCATCTCCAACTAATATGTCAAGTTGCCACATGTACATGAAAGGACAAAAATTGAAGGTTAAAGTTACTCCAACCGAGTAGTCAAATCCCACATGGATTTGAAGGCTGGAAGAGATATGTCAAAAATAACACATCAAGAAGCTTGATGTCAAAAATTATTTAATACTTTTTTAGTCATAGACCCCACTATCATTTACTCTCTTTTAAAATCTTATGCATCATATGAGCCTCATTTACTTTTAAAAATATATAATAATATGATATTTGGCATTTCTGGTGGAGTTAAATTTTTCCGGAAGTGTCAAATTGCCACATAAGCCATCAAATTCAAATTTAATATTTTGCATTTGACATCTCTCTTGGAGATGCTCTAAGCTCTAGATGTATTAATACCATCTCTTGGACACACACTCACGTCTCAACTTTGCTTCTGAATTCCATGCAAGGGTAAGCTTTCTTGTGTGTTGATGAGAAATCATCCACTAATCAAACCGACCAAAAAATTAGACCCATACCTCTTCAGAATGAAAAAAGAATACGAATGGAACTCTTATTTTTATGGGTATTTTTATGTTTGCGTTTTCAATTCTCGTCACGTAATTAAGTTCGTCCCTGTAAAAATAAAATTCTTAATCCGCCACTGCTTAATGCATCAAAGAAGATCAAGTTGCATCAAAGAAAAATGTAACACCTATAGCAAACTTTGCCATACAGAAAAATTGAAAGGACCAAATTGGAATTCTAACTGGACAGTGGCCTTTGGGTACTCTGCAGATGCTGAGGCCAGACTCCGACAAGTCTAAAGAAACTGAAAAGGAGCTTTATCAATATGTCAGATGAGACAAACTACCAATTGACTTCTCACATTCCTTCTTATCTGAAAGGCTCAAAAATCTTCAGACCAAAAAAAAAGAAAGGCTCAAAAATCATCCAAATGACCCAAACTAACCTAATTTGTCATTTATATTTTCAAAACGAGTTTCGGAAACGGCAAACAAGCAAACATCATGAATTTCATGAGAGAGAAAGAGAGACAGAGAGAGAGTGAGAGCCGTTTCTACCTTTTCAGTCTCTTTCAGCTCTGCTGATGTCATCGCTTACTTACTGTCCGCACTCCACGTAGAATCAGATTCTTCCAGGCAATCTTCTTCTTCCTCCTCCAATCCCCTTGCATCCATCGCTTTCTCTCAAGTCTCATCCAACCGTCCGCTGAGATTACTTTTTTTTTTCACTACTTTCCGGTCAACTGAGTTTCAATATTTAATCCCAAGAGTTCAAACCGCACACGAAGCCCCCCTTCTTCTTTCTCCCCAAGCAAAACCAGCACCTGCTTCAGCAAGCCGTAATTATTATTATCGCGCCACGTGGCACTCTAATACCCAATTCCAACTTTGCCTTCTTTCCTTCCCTTCCCTTAATACGAGCAGCACTCACTACCACGCAGAGCTAATGTGACCACCAACTGTTTGTGAAAATGCGAGGACTGATAAAGAGCTTCAGCCTCCTCATGCTCTTGCTTGCCTTCCCTTACGCCATTAATGCGCAGGCCACCCAGGAATTACAGAACAACAACGGCTATGGCGACCTCTCCACTTTCTCCTCATCCATGGCCATGATCCTTGTTTTCCTCGTATGCACCTTCTTCTTGATGGCCTTCTTCATCATCTGCATTCGCCGCTGCGCCGAGGCTGCAGACATCGAATCCGCCGGAACCGCAGCTCCTGCCACCGTTACTCTCCGGCGAGGCCTCGACCCTGCCGTGATCAAGACTTTCCCGATCCTCGTCTACTCTGCCGTCAAGGATCTCAAGATCGGGAAGGGAGCTCTGGAGTGCGCGGTGTGCTTGGGCGAGTTCGACGACTACGAAACGCTGCGTTTGCTGCCGAAGTGCGATCACGTCTTCCACCCAGACTGCATCGACGCCTGGTTAGCAGCTCACGTGACGTGTCCGGTTTGCCGCGCCAATCTCTCGGCCGAGTCGAACTCGCGAGTTCCTGAGCCACACAACGATCCGAATCTGGAAAGTTCGAGTACGACGAGCCAGATTGAAGTCGGTGAGGCTCGGAACGACGCCGTCGTGGTCAATGTGTATGAAAATCAGAGCGGCGACCCACAAGCGGTTGAGACTGTTAACCGTACACGTACAGCGAGGTCGGGAATCTCTGGAAAGTTCCCCAGATCGCACTCGACGGGTCACTCACTGAGTCAACTCGGAGGGAACACGGAGCGGTACACCTTGAGACTGCCAGAGGAGGTGAGGAGACAGCTGATTTCGCTCGGGATAAATAAGCTGAGACGTTCGAATAGCTACGACGTCATTTTGCCTCGCCTTGAGAGTTCGAGGAAGGGGTATAGGTGCGGCGGCGGTGAAGCGAAAAGCAATGTGGATAATCAAACCGGGTGGTTCGACTCATGGGTTTTGTTAAGAACGCCCTCGTTTTTGGCTAGGGGGAGTTCCGTTACCTTTAAGTCTCCTAAGGGAGGAGGCGGTGACGGAGATGGCGTGTTTGGGAAGACGCCGTTAAGGTCTGTTAAAACGCCGTTCGATTGTCTGAATGCGAAGGCGGAGAGGTCCAAAGAATCGATATCTCAGCTTCCTCTTTGATTTGTAAATATTTGCATTATGGTGTTTTAGTTAGTACTACTGTGTACTTAGCATTTTGTTTATATATGTGTGTGTATATATATATATATATATATATATATATTCGTTAAATATATTTTTGAAAGAGGAGATTATTGATAACAATTAAGAGAATACAACAATATCATCTTGTACAATTGACTCCGGTCAGTGGGAAACCTCTTCAATCCAAGTTTATATTTACATTCAGTTTATGTTTACCAGCAGGAGAGGGAGACCATTTGGTTGGCTTCTCAACATCTATTTTAGGTTCACCTTTCACAAGATTTCCATATTCATCAGCCAAGTAAAGAGCCCTTCTGAAAATTTGCACAAGAACGACCTTCAACAACTATTTATTTCTGTTTTGTCATAAGCTCCAGTAAATATATAAAAACAGGCGCATTTCATACTTCGAAAGATAAATAATGGCAACTTCAAATACATCCTTGTAGTTGGAAAAGTGCATACCTGTAAAAACCTCACTGAACTGCACTTTTTTCCAAACTTTTTGGGCACTAGGACAACTCCACAGTGCATGTATTACACTCTCAGGATTCACATTACAAATGCGGCAGGAGTCATAAGAGATCATTTTCCTTTTTAGGAGAATAGATTTACAAGGAATATAATTTTTAATAGCTCTCCAATTAAAATATAAGAGTTTTGTGGTACCTCTTGGGACCAAACTTTTCTTCAAAAGCATTTCGTATTCTTGGTTCCAAAGAGGAGCCAATAGCCCTACTACACTCCTTTTTTTTTTTGGGAGTTTCACTAAAACACCCAAAATGGAGGTTGAAATTATAAAAAAACCCAACACCCAAAACACTTTATAAACACACCCAAAACTCATCATTACACACACTTAAAACCCATTTATAAACACACCCAAAAAGTTGACTTTGATGTTGATTTTGGGTGTGTTTCTATATTTAAATAATGCTTGGGTTTTTTTATAAATACATGTCTAGGATTGGGTTTATTTATAAATTTGTATTTTTTTTTTATACATCTCCAGCCTATAACCACTTTTCACAGAATAAATTCCGTTGGTCGTATAATGCCAAATCCATTTATCTTTATGATAATTAACACTCAAAGGAAAAGCACTTTAGTTTCTTGATCCACGGCAACCTCACCCCCGTCGACACGTGGCAGTCCCACAATTGATGTCCACAGTCCCACATCGAAACTCTAAACAAATTGCACACCTCCCAAGGTCTATAAAAGAGGACAACCATCCCAGTTTGGAAGTAATCAATCAGAACTCACGGCATACTGCCTATTGATCTGTAATTCAAACTTACTAAATCCGTACTTACTTAAGCATCGGAGAGCCCTCGGCTGGTATCACACCGGTACCTAGGACTTACCGAGCGTTTGCTATCTTACAGGTATAACACCCTACCGAGGCCATATCATACCGAAGGAAAACAAAATCATTAAGTTACGCGGGAAATTGCTGAACCATTTTTCTGCGTCAACAGTTTGGCGCCGTCTGTGGGAAACGATAACA